AATTGTAATTAACATAAATTGAATTATGTAAATTCATTGTGCACCTGGCACAGTTGCCTGCCAATCACAAAAAACAAGACAGTTGATTTCCAGTTGGATTGACACATCACTACTGTGTGTAAATTAGTGTCACAATTTATAATTACAATAATTACATGGTTACTACTGGTGTTAGTAACAGTAATTTGTTTCAAGAATTTGACAATTTTTTAATTTACCCATAAAATTGTGGATCAGAGGCTTAAATCTAGCATAATAAACTGCAAGAATAGTGACAGGCCTAGTGACACAAGTGGTAGTCCTATTGCATCAGGCTCAAATGTTGGAACTTTGGTGCATGAATCAAAACAGAAAAGGAGTAAATATTGTGATGAATATTTAGCATTTGAGTTTACTTGCACTGGGTTAGAAAATGATCAAAAACCTCAGTCTATTATGTATTATGATGTATCATCTAACGAAAGCATGAAATCAACCAAGCTTCATGGGGATCTTGAAACAAAACAATGAATATAGTAGCAAATCTGTTAAATATTTTCAAATTAAAGAATATGAAATGCATAGAACACAAATATTATTAGAAGAAATATCAACTAGTTGCAATAATGAAAAAGCTACATTTACTTCATATGAGGTATCTCTTTTGATAGCACAGCCTGGAAGTCCACATACTATTGGAGAGGAACTAATATTACCAACTGCAAAAGTAATGTCGTCAGGTGTAATGCATGGAATAAAGCAGCAAAAAACCTAAATTTGATTTCACTATCAAACAACACCGTTAAACGTATAATTGAAGAAATGGCAGAGAATGTTAAAAGTCAATTAATTACAAAAGTACGCCAAAGTCAGTATTATTCTCTGCAGTTGGATAAAAGTAAAGACGTTGCTAATCATGCTGAATTTCTTGCATTCATTTGTTATGAATTTGGTGGAAAATTTATGAAGATCTCTTATTTTGACACTCCTTCCCAACTAATGCTACATTCGAGTCTATATTTAACAGTCTGGACATCTTTTTAGCAACAAATGAAATTGAATGGTCAAAATGTGTAGGAATAAGTTCAGATGGAGCTCATGCAATGTCAGGTAAGAACAGTGGATTTGTTGCACATGTTAAGACTGTGGTGTCTACAGTTACGTGGACTCATTGTTGTATACATAGAGAAGCATTGGCTGCAAGAAGAGTGGATGGAAAACTAAATAGAACAATGGACAAAGTAGTAAAAGTTGTCAATTATATAAAAGCTCACCCACTAAATTTCGACATCTTTAATGTTCTTTTGTGACGAGATGGGTAGTGAACATAAACATCTTCTTTTGCATTAGGATGTGTGCTGGTTATCTCATGGCAAAGTTCTCAGTCATGCGTTTGAACTGCATGATGAAATATGCTTATTTTTAAGTAAGAAAAAGTTTCACTTCAGCAAACTCAACGAATTTTCTTGGCTGACTGTTGTGGCCTATTTATCTGACATATCTACTCATTTGAAAGGACTAAATTTAAGCCTTCAAGGAGCAGCTGTAACTATATTTGAAGTTGAAGAGAAAATAGAAGCTATAATAAAAAAAAAGATTGATTTATAAGTACACTGTATTCAAAACGGTAAGTACGACTCATTACCAACACTCAAGAATCTGAGAAAAAAATTTCAGATGAGGTGCAAAACATTATTCAGCATTTGCATAATTTGAAAACAGATTTTAGGATCTACTTTCTTCCTCCCAATTCCAATAGTAAGAGGATCAGAGACCCATTTAATATGTTGAATATATAACTGCAGTTGAAGAAAATAGCCTTATTGATCTCTTGTGCGATTCTTCACTAAAGTCATTTTTTGGCCAAACTAACTTGACAGACTTTTTGTTACATGTGAATGTGTTATCCTGAACTGTCGAATGAACTGTTGAATTACATTTCCTACAACCTATTTATGCGAGAAAAGTTTCTCTTAACTTGCTTATATAAAATCGAAGTATAGAAATAAGATATATGTGGAGCCAGATCTTTGAAACTGTCACACTGACACAGAAATTTGCAAGATTGTTTCAGCAAAGCAGTATCATCTTTCACATTAAAGTAAGTCTAAGGTTTTTTAAATTTTCCATATTTAAATCTATTTTCATTGTTCTTTTCTTAAAACTAAAATCAAGCTGTAAAGGTAGTAAAATATGCATATGATACACCAGTTATACATAAAAAAAACTATTTTAAATGGGAGGTGGTCTGCCAATACAGTAAAGAAGTTGAAAGGGGGTCCACCAGTTGGCAAAGTTTAAGAACCCCTGTACTAGACCAAAATGACTACATTGGACCAAGCAATAGGAGGTTATACACTACAGTAAAAGAAGGATAACATAAAATTTAGCACTAGAAGACTATCCATTAGACTGAAAGAGGAAATATGCTGGGCACACCACTAAGAGGCTTTTCAACAGACAAATGAAAAAGCATGCAAGATCCATCATTAGGCAATCTTTACTAGACAACAAGTAAGTAGGTTCCATCACCACCCACTAAACTGAAAGGACTAGCATGAGGAATTGCTCACTAGACTAAGAGTAATAGTATTAGAATCAACAATTAGGTAGTTACCATTAAACAGGAAAATACAAAACTTGAGCATTATAAAAGAAAAAAAAAAGATTAACTTTCTTGATGGAACTTAAGCTTCTACTCAAGACTTTCTTTGGCCAAGCTTGTAAGAATTAAGTGTCCATCTATTAGATATTAAGAATATATGGGATCTATCAATGTATGGCAATCCAATATACTAAAATGAGAAGTATGTGAGACTCACAAGTGGGAGGTTTTCCAAAAGTCTACATGAAAGAGTATGTTATATCTATCATAAAATGATACCCCACTAAAATATACAAACAATATTTTCAAGTTCATCCCCCTAGTAGGGCAGCACTTGGCACAATACAATGTTCTGGTAGAAACAGAAACATTTGTAGCATAATATTAAAATAATTAGGAACTGATACAGAAGTTAGCCATTAGTCAACACTACTTGGTTTTCCCTCTTTTCTCCAAGCTGTAAGCTTCTTTCATTTCTAGGTCACCTATATTTTTGTTATCAATGAACAAAAACTAAGTCACTTTTGCATCTAAGTTTCAAAACACACTGACAATAGATAGAGTAACATTTAATGAAAAAAGTTAACCATTCACTTTATATCAAATTATAACCAGATATATAAAATTATTTTATGATGTTATAATATATATGTATAGTGACAAAAATAATGTATTAACAGTAAACCAATTGTTGGATTATGTTCATAATTCATGCTACATTTCCTGGTACTTGATGAAAATAAATCTATGGTCAGTAGTTGACTAGTATAGTACCAATAGAAAAAGTATTGGAAAGTCCTTGAATCTCTCTCTCTCCAGTAACATTTCTATTTTTTATGTAGATTTTTTGCTAACAGCATTAGAATACCTCACTTCAGAATAGGTGCAGGATGGTTCGAAACATTAAACTAAACTTTTTTACATCTTACTATAATGTACATAGCATGTGTATGTATGCATGTCAATGAAATAAATAAAATGTTGCGCCATCTATTGAATGGAACCACAAACAAATATCTAAAAAAAAAGAAATTCACATTTTGGGTATTCAAGAATTAGACTATTAGAAAAACTGCACAATTTTAACTTGAAGTACTCTCTACAGAACAAGAATACAACTTTCACTAGGACTGTATGGGATGATTATATCTTTATTGATGTAATTTGTAAATATAGTACTAAAAAAATCTTAAAAAAAAAAAGGGAGGGGTACCACTTTTAATACATAAAATCATTACAGTTTATATCAGCACAATCCAAACACTTTTTTTGATGCAGTACTTCCTAGAAAAATCCTTTTTTGTAGAAAATGCTTGCTTTTTTTCAATGAGGTATGAACACTACAGTTAGTAATTACTAGCACAAACAGCCGTCCATAGGGCAGCATTTCTACTAGTTTTTTTTTAATTTACATAATGCTGACTGGAGCATAGTACACATAATTACAAATAAAGTGATTGAACTCCAAAGGATCTTAAAAATTGTTTTATTTGCTCAAAAGTTGGCTTTATGCCTTTAGCAGCAACATACAATCGTCTGCTCCTGATGAAGGCGTAAAGCCGAGATGTTGTTCCAATAAAATAACTTGTAAAATTCTCTGTTGTTCAGTCCATTTTATTTATTTGTAATTAAGATGCACTTCTCTAAAAACACTTAGTTATAAAAAAATCTTTTTAGCTTAGATCTCAATGTTCTTAACAGAACTAAGACTGGTCTAAAGCTTTGCCTAATACTGTAGCTATCGGATGAAACTCATAGGCTCATTGAGACTTCAGATCATCTGAAGCTAAACAAGCACAGCAAATTAACAGAATCATTCAAAAACTAATAAACTGATTGTTTATAATTCATCAATGTGTTGAATTCATGAATACAATACTAAGAATAAACTTATAAACTCATTCTGAAAACTAACTGATAAAAAGTAAAAACTAGTTAAGACAAGAAATATGAAAACTGAGCATTAAAAAAGTTCTTGTTAAGGTTAGCAAAGCTTCATCATGGACATTACTCCCTACACAAGTTTATAAGCATAAAGACCACCTTCAAAAAAAATTATTTTTTTTTGCCAAGAAATTATGAATTATCTAAGAAGTTTTCTCTAACAATGAAAGTTTAAATCTTTCCAGCCAAGTACCTCCAATTTGTTTTTACACAAGAACACATGACAACACTAAATATTCAAAAATTTTCAATCTAAAAATTCCAATATTGAAAACTAAAATTCAACTGATAGCATTTTTTTCTTTAGAGAACTTCTAAAAGTAACAAAATCAAATACATTATATGAAATCTGATATTCTATTTTTTATAATCTGTCATACTACTCACTTTTCTTACACCAATGTAAATTTCAAAACTTTTAGTTAAGTCTGGAACTGTTATCAGTCATACACAAAATACATGTTTTTTTTTTCTAATGTTACACACAGATAATGAATTTTTATTGGTTCCTCAGTTTGTTTAATTTAAAGTAATTACTTAGCCAGTTCCGTTACAAAAATGCCTGCTGGTAACTTGAAACTAAGGGAATCTTATGGTTGATTTCACTCTGGCATTAACTTTAGAGATTAGCAGAGGCTTTTTTTGATGCAGTTATGCAGATTTCATAAAAACAGAACAGAGGCAAACTAGAAAAAAATAAAATGAGGCAAATAAGTCATATTTATTTAAATTAGTTTTAATAATTATTTTTATAGGACACTTATTTTGTTGGATGAGTAATATAATAGACCAAGAAAGAAATTCCAGTGAATTTTGAATCACAGATTTTGCTTGTGTAGGCTATAAAACAAGTATGTGTGAAACCTGGTTTAAGGTCAATGGTTATGTGCATATTCTGTAGAAACATAATATACATCCATGTCAAGAAGTGACTTTACATTAAGTTATAATTTCCAAAAAACTAAATTTAGGTTCAAAAGCATTTCATGATTATCAGGTTTTATGTTTGAATTGTCTATGTTTCAATTATGGTAATCTTTACAAACTATTATTTTTATGAATGCAAAATCAGAAACTGAAATTTACAAGAGGAGATTGAAATACAAGAAAAAAAATTCATTTAACTTCTTACTGTGGACTGAATACTCATTTCTACTATGCAGTGTTGAGATACTGTTAAAATACATACTTGGGCATTCCCTTGTGTTCCATCCACCAGTTGGTTATACGTTCCTCCCACATATCTGTACTTAGATTGTGTTGATCCAGCACCCTGTTTAAAAATACAAGCCAAGTTCTTTCATGTTACAATTTAATGATGGCACATCATGTTGTGAGCATTGAGAATGAGCATGCTCGTACTCATGACTAAGTAACTTAACTAGTCAACATGTTTAATGCTTTTTTCTCTCTCTTTGAATGCATTATTTCTCACCAGATCTTAAATTTACTTATCTTTAGAGTTTCTCCAGTTAATCTTTTCATGTGTTTTATTGTTTAAGTAAAAAAAAGTAGGCTTAAATTTCATCAATAGTTAGTAGCAAAAAAAACAACAAAAAACAAGGACACGGGTGAGTACTATATTTATTTTTCATGCATATTCTTTATTATTATAAAAAGATCTAAGATGTAAAAATTAGAAACTTATAAAGTCAGATCAAGTGAGATAATTAAAAATAAAATTTCTTCACAAGGTATGCTTATGTAATAAACCATTCAATACAGTAATGTGAACTATATATTTGCTGCAATGATTTACAATCTGTGTGGTGAGATTATTAGTCAGACATAGATCAAAGGTCAATAAATCAATAAAATTAAGTGTAAACAGCTGTATATTGTTATCAGCTTTAGGCTATTTAGATAAAAAAAATTGTTTTCTGTTGCAATCTGCAGTCAATTTAGAAAAAGTTATTGGTTTTTTTTTATTGTGATTACAAGGTCGATCAAATTGACTGAATGTGTATGCAGTTCGGGTAGAGAAAATAAACAAATAAAATATAAATTTTGAAATTAATTTAGGAGGTTTCAGAGATTATGCAAATGAAATTTGACAATTTTTAGATGAAATATTTTTAACTTAATAAGAAAATCACTTTGCACTTGGAGTAATCAACACTAACTCTATGATTTCATGAAGGTTTTAATAAAAATACTTAACTGAAAAATATGATTTTGTGTGTACAAAAGACATGTAATGTTTACTGAAAGTTTTGGGGTCACAAGGTCGGTGTACTTCAGCAAGAGGGTTAATGAAAATCACCAATGTGAAAATGAGCAGGGGAACACCACAGAAATATATGGACAAGGATGACTTTTCCTGCCAAATGGCTAAGTTTGGCCTAACTCATAACTGTACTTTTTAGGTCAAAAATGTTAAACTAATAGCAATTTTAATTTGAATTTTTAGTAATAATTGAAAATCATAATGGCTAATAAAACAAGTTATAATGGTATTTTACAAAGTATTAAAAATTAAGTTTCCTAGTCATTTCTGTTAATTTCTCATTATGAACAAAAAAAACTACTTCCCACAGACCCTAGATTCAAATGATCCAATAATCAATAATTCAAGGTAATAATTAAATACAATCCTTCAATACAATAATAACCATTTGACACAGCCATACAACTAAGAATTTTGATACTTGGTAGTTTAAATAAAAAATGTATTCAAAGACTTGGGAATAAAAAACCCCTTTAAGATAAAACAAATTATTTACAAAATTGGCAAATGTAAAACATCTGCAAGAAATGGCAGTGGGTTATTTTGTTTTATTAAAAAAAAACTATAATTTTATCAATTTGTATATGGGATAAACATTTGCAAATATTTCTAAGAAATAGCAAATTAATTTTAATTAAGCAGAATATTATCATATTAGGCTACCTTACTTCAGGAAAGAGGAATATTCCCGAGAAATAGTTCATCTTCTTATAAGAACTAGTATACAAGACTAATTTACATATTACGAAGAAGCAGATCATTTGCAAATGTTTCTGCAAAATTGTTAATCTTGTTTTATTAACTAGTCTATATTTATCTTAAACACACCTCTGAGGAAGTAACCGATCATTTTCGAACATCCCTGGCGAATAGTTACTCAAACTGTAATTGCCATACTTGGCCTGCACGGCATAGGAAGCCAATAACACAGACGTTTCAGGGGGACAGTAAATTTCATCATTCAAGATACCATTTTTCACTTGAAGGTAGAACAATCGCTGTAAAAAAAAAAAAACACAAACATATGAAAATAAGACAAATGAAACTAGTATAGCAATGGAAAATCGGTGAAAAAATAATCAACTTTATTAGTATTAGAGAAAATGGTTTTTACATACCTACAAAGTTGAAATGTATCCTAAAGTTTGATTTTTAGCTGATAAATATTTGTTTTCAATAAATAAGTTTTTATTTATGCACACTGTTTGAATATATAAACCTAATATATTCAATACAGAGGATACAGGTCATCCAAATAATTCACTACTGATTACTATTCCCACTAAATCTAATTTAAAAACTTTCCAGATATCTTGTTAGAAAAGAATATTCCTGTAACTTTAACATATATAACTTACTACAAAGAAGAGAATTAGAGAAATTTTAAATTATTTTGCAACACACTTGCTGGTTGATATCAACCTCAATCAACTAACTTGAATTGACTGTTGTTGACAATTTTTACAGCTTGTTCTTATGTTTCATCTCCTTCGCCAAGTAAATCTACAAGTAATACACTTCATTTGGTTAAGTTTCCAATTAGAATTAATTTGTTTTTGATCCTAATCCTCAATCTGTGAAAACATTTTTCAGAAACAGATACACTTAACAGACTTGTGTTTACTATGTTGTTGATGTATGCTTGTCAATAATAAATTCTCCCCTGCTAGGTTGTGTATTCATTAGTTTAGTGCGAAGGGTCCTGGGGATAAGATAAGCCATGTTGTCACACCTCAATACACTGAAATTAAATAATAGGTTGAACAAATACCAAGTTTTTGTTATATTTTTATTCAAAGAAGAATTACATTTAAACTAGCACTCTTCATCAGATCATACAGCTTCTATACACTCTTTACAACTAGAGTTACACACAGTCTAGATCTATTTAACTATATCTTTCATCAACTTCGTTTTACTTGAGCTAAATTTTGGATGCATATTTATAAATAGCAACTGAGACCTAGAACTTTCTACCCACTACAAGATATTAATGTATCAATACTCCAGAAAAACTTGGAAGGTTCTAAAACGTGATGCAATAATACAACAATTGCCAATTTATGACAACTGATCGACACAACTCATGATTTGTACAGTTACATAAACAAACCTGCAATAAACTAATTGCTTCTAAAAATTACTAAATTGAACACTCGTGTTATACTTAAAATTTTAAATTAAAACAGCCGTGTATATCCAAGTATTCTAACCACAATACAGCAAATTTTTTAGATGGGTCAGTATATCAGCAGAAATGGGTGAAAAAAAAAATTTCCCAGGTCATGATGTCAGAAAAATCTCAGTCAGCCCCAATTTGAGAAGACCAGTCAGGTTACAGAACACAAGTATTTTTAAACCTGGCCCCACTTGATTTTGTTATATCAGACAGATTAGAATCTCTTCTATCGAATCATTTTTGGCTTTGACACTAGCTATTTTCAAAGCTTGGCTTCACCAGTTAATGTTTCAACTACATGCTGCAACACAAGCCTGGTTTATTAATACTGTTCTGTGTTTCCAATGACAAAGAAATAAAATTACATGAAAAACAACACAAATTTTTTATTTCCAAGGATGATGATTTTTTTTAATTCAAAGTTAATAACCAAATGTGTATGGTCTTGGTCAATTTGAATAACCTTGTATTGAAAAAGAAATGTTGACTAATTCCAAATTTACAATATGTATGTACATAAAATGTAGTAAACTTTTAGTAAAACGTCAAAGTCTGTTGTACACACACAAACGCAAAAAGTTACAACAGTATTTGTACTCAAGATAAGTCTGTAAATTGACACAATCTGTCTACCTCGGACATGGCAGACTGCTAGGCAATGTTCACATAAAGAATAAGAATACTTTTGTCCACTATACAGTTTGAATATTGCATAACCTCTACAGCCTCTTAAATACATATCTACAGTTTTTTTCTGGTATTTATTCTCATGTACCATAAAATGCCTCTAAATCAACAATGTACGGTAAAATGAATAGTTGATAACTGATAAATACATAACATGTTGTGGCTTGTGCACTTCAACCCCCCCATCTGTAGATATAGGTTACAAGTGTTGCATGCAAGTTACTCTGCAGAAATTAAGGTATAAAAAAAATTAATTCTTCTCTATGAACTACATTAAATTAATATCACAAATGCTAAATTACCAATCTTTAAAAAAAGAAATTACTGAAACAGTTATAAGTTTTCTTAAATTTTGAAACTCGACATTCAGGTGTAGCTCAGTATCTCAAGTGTACACACCAGCCATATAAGTTAAGAAACTAACCAACGTAATATCCTGTATGATTTCTTCTCCTACATCTTCTGGAAAGAACTTTGCACGAAACTTGAATTGGAAAGGATTTTCTTTTTTCACATCTTGACTTAAAACCTTATTAAAAAAAAAACTTCTTTAAGTACAAGCAAGGTATATACAGATTATTTACATAGTTACTATAACAAGCCCTGATTAAAGAGAAGAAAAAAAAAGCATAAGTATCAATACAATGATACATTTAACTATTAGTTCAAAAATGAAAAAAAATTTAATTGCACTTTACTTACTATGTAGACATAAATGTTTACCTTCAAAACTGCATTTATCAGAGACAAAGCCATCACAGTTCTATCTTAAACATGTCTTAGCTTCTATCTGTAGAGTTGTTTTAAGTAACAATTTTTGAGTACCATTAATCAACTTTTGTTAACTTATATTAACTTACAATTTGTTTAAACAAAGATACTTAGAAACTTAATCCTTTGAGAATATTACTAAAGTCCAAAGAGAATTGTTTACGAGCACTAACTCAAAAATATGAAGTCTTTGAAGCTGTGCACCTTCAATTTTGGAAATTGAATAACTACACCAAATAAATCATCATTTTATCAGTTACAAGTTACAAATATTTCTAAGTTAGTTTAATACCTATCCAGTTTAAGCTGAAAACAGTATGTTAAGAATTTAAAATAAAAAAATTTTTAATTAGTAACTGTTATTTTTTTTAATGTTAAAGGTCAAGATATTAAGAACGTTTTATTTCTCAATGATAAGGTCAGTAATTCAGTGTGGAATTTTGATGTTAAAAGTGGGAAGGTGAGACTTACCCAACTACAGGGAAGTCAACTGTCTCATTAGAAATTAATATTAAAGATATTATAATATGATGCATCTTGTACATTGTTTAATTCTTATGTTTTACTAAAACATTACCTGTGAGATATTTATTAATAATGTATTGAATACTAGCTAAAATTCCACCCTAAGGGTGGCTGTTCGGTCATAATCTTAGCAAGTTGAATGGTTTCATTCTCAGTCAAGAAATTGCTCCCGACTTCTTCTAACTACATCTTTACAAGCAATTTGATGTGCTTCTATATTTTGGGTTTGTTCCTGGCTTTTTTGCTCCGGATCTTGCCTCATAAGTGAGCAATCCTATTTCTTTCTTACTCACTCTCTAACTTACATCATGACATTTCATTTTCTTTCTCAAAGTTTCAGACTTTCTCCATAATAAATCATTTTTCTCATTTGGCAATTTCTGGTATCATGATTTTCAATGTTCTTGATCACATTATACTCATACTGAAGTAAAAAATACTTGTGTAACTTACAAAGATTGAATTACTATAAGAGTCCTGAAATGTTTATGCAATGAACTTCATATAAAGGACTTGCAATTCCTTCTGTCACAGAACAATTCAATTCATAGCGTACACTTGGATTCTCCAGCAGAAAAAATCAATTTTATTGTGAAATATCACAATGATTCTCCACCAGGAAGATTAACTATAAAATTCAGGATTAAACCAACTTTACTACAATTGTAGAAGTTTTCTTTAAAAAACCAGACATATGACCTAAGTAAGCTTTTTATAAGAGACCCAACTGTAATGAAACCTTGTTGGGAACTTCCCTTTATGATGTTGAAAAATCGTGCAAAGTTTCATCCAAATTGTTGGAGTAGTTTTGTGACCAGATGGACATTAGCCTCATATATTAGCTGTAAATAGACAAATAAAATCAGCACTACAAAACAATAATGAATTTAGTATGAATTAAGCCTTAAGGTTATTATATTTAAAAATACCATTGCAATTTTCCAGTCATGACCTTAAAGTCATAATAGAAATTGTCTGTGGTAATAGCACCCAAAAGCAGCTGGGGATATTCCATCTATCAGACAAAATCCAAACACAGATGAAAAATTAGTTTGCAGTCATGGAAAATTAAATAAGGGTGTGGCATTGAGTGCTTATACCCACAAGTTTGAACTCCTACTGCCTTTCACTGTCTGCAGCCAGTTGTGGGAAGGCAGTTACCCTTAAAGGTTCTTCTAATATCAAAAGTAGAAAAAATAAAACCACCCTAAAAATATTTCTACTAGAAGTTCCTCCCAACCACCACCCTTAATATTCTAATAGTTCTTAAATCACAAGAATTACAATAAAACCACCCTAAAACTACTATAGATTCCTCCTAACCACCGCCCTTGTTTCCTTGTAATAGTTTTATAAATCAGTTTAACTATTCTTTGGGAAAGCACAAAACTGTCAAGTAAAAGTATTTGTAATTGATCACAAATTGAATATGATTAAAACAAAGTTACTGCTCATGTTATGTCAAGATGTAGCAATGATTAATATCAGTAAATCTGTATGTACATCGAATAAAGCAACATGAAGATAATTACCACATTTTCAAATAAGACTTTTGTTATCACTATTCTTCACTAAAATTAAAAGCTTCTCTTATTTCATAATCCAAAATTTATTATAAGCTTACCTTCTTGTTGAGTTTCAACCATGTCTGGAACTCTTTGTTATCTGTATACTGAAGGCCAAAAAACCAGATCTCCCTCAACCCTATTGTTTTCACCACCTGTGTGTTTAGGGTAGGAGTCAAAGTGAAAATCATAACAGAAACAAAACAACGTAATACTAACAAAGCATATCCCACAAAGATATGATAGCTGCAGAAAATTGTTATATTTTGCAACAAGAAAATACAGATTACCAAATACTATCTTTTGCTTTGTCCAGAATACGAAGAGTAACAATACATTTACCTCCAAGTTAGTAGTTGAAAATTTGAAAAATCATGAATAATACTACAAAAAATGTCAAATTTTGCTTACATTCCAAGGTTGTAAATGTATTTTAGCTTGATAACTCTGTACTGACAAATTACAAATTCCTGATTTAAAACTCATCTGTTAAGATAATTTTAGGATGATTTTGGATTGGACCCCTTTGCCAAGGTTTAACTCTCTCAACACAGGTCTTGGTCAATTTGACCGACCGCGTGACTTCTTTGTACTCGTTTAAAGTCTTTTATAGATTTAATACTTCTAACTTTCAACATAGTGGTATATCTTCACAAAATTTGGCAGTTTTTCAGTTCATATTATAAGTCTTTCCATTCAAAAAAAAGTCATTTTTATTGAAGTATTTTTAATAAAATAAAATAAAGATTTATCAATGAATATATTGAGTATTTGTTTTGAATAGTCCATGTGCAAAGTTTCATGCTTAGATTAAAAATAATTTTCATCTCAAAATTCCTTCATGTAATTCCTAAAACCTAGCATTTCAATCATTTCTATTCAGTAAAACTTTATAGTTTTTATTATTTATGATTTCAAATTATAACATGAAACTACATTTGTTTATCCTTTGAACCGTGTCCAACTTCTATCCGAGCCATTATAAGTTGTAAATCACTCTGGGAATGTGTAGCTCAAGTTACGCTGATGATTTACCTTACCCATGAGCTACTGCGAGTTGCTCACGTGTGTGCCTCATGAATTTTTATTTTAATATTATTATTTATTTTACCTAATCTAATCTTATCTAACCTAAAAGGAACCCTATATTTACATTTTAGTTACTTTCATAATTAGACAAAGAATGAAAATGAAAAACAAGAAATAAGATACTTAACCAATCTTTTTTCTTGCCATCGATTGTGGAAGAGAGTTAACCCTACTTTTTTCTTTACTACTGATAGTAATGCACTTAATTTTTCATTTAATTAAATAATGCACCAAAGAATAGACTAATAACATGCAAAATGTTTACAAATTCCCTTATCTCTCAAAATTTTTCTAGGCTAACTATGCAACAAGAGTCTTTGCAAATTAC